CAGAAACTGCCTCTCCGGTTAACCCTTATTACATTGTAACAGCTAAGACGAAGCGCCCATCAATGTGAGTGATGTTGAGTTGACCACGCTCACACAGTCACATGACCACCAACCAGAGAACTGGTTGTTAAATTATTTGAATCCCACCACTGGAGTTCCTTTATGACTAACTAACTAAAAATGTTCCTTTTGAAAAGTTTAAACTTATTAAAATATAACTTACAATACATTTCAAAGAATACAAAAATTAAGGAATAAGCGATGGACATGGAAGAGTGTTATCCTCACTTGGTAATCACTAGAAAGATTGTATTTTTTAGTATTTCTTCAAAAATAGAAAATCAGTGGGAATGAACAGCCCCATTGCAAATATTTAACATGCCAAAAAATGTAGCTTCAAAATAGAAATGTCCTGAAATACTGGAAAGTGCTGCTTAGCTGTTTTTGCTGCAACAGTCTTTCCATTAAAGTACTAGTTTGGTGTTGTGGTTAAGGCATCAGGGAAGTAAACTGGGAGACAAGGAATTATAGGCACAAAGCCAGTTGGGTGACCATGGAGCCTCCCTCCTTCCCCCCTCTCGGCAATGGCAAACTACTTCAGAAAAACTTGCTATGAAAACATGAGGGACTAGTCTAGACAGTTGTCAAACATCAACACCCACTTGAAACCACACTTTAAAAAAAAACATACAAGTTATGGGTGAGTCTTCTAATACGTTCCATGAATACATCCCTTTGGATTCCAGTTATAAAAAGTGACTTAAATCTTTGACAGAAATGAAATACTCAGGATATATACATGAAAACCTTATCAATGCATCTGCATTTAGATGTTGCTGTATGATGTTAGCAGATTTCAGAATTGGCCCAATATTAGGTCATTCTCAGGAGAAAACACCTCATATTTGTTATCTAAGGAAAGTGCCTCGGTAGTACATCAATTGATGAAGCTAGCCCTGGATGGCAGTCTTCTAAATTCTTAGATCTGGTTTTAAGTCAGCTGTTAAAGAAGGTGAGATAATAACTATAAACCAATTGTCAAGCCTTGGGGCTGTTTCCCTGCCTTTAGCTGCCAAAATAGATTCCCTGGAATTCAAATAGACTTGCCAATCTCTGCTTTGAGCTTGTTCAAGAGCTTGAAGACTCAAGGTATCAATTCTGAAGTGAACCTGGCTGGAGCCATTTTTTCCTGCCTCATAGTTGCCATGAACTTTAAAAGAGGAAAGGGAGCGGGGAAGTAGATACACCAGCTACTAGTCAAAACAAAAAGATTTCTCATGGGAACCAAGGTCATCCCAAAAGGCATGTGAAGAAGGAGGAGTGACCAAGTAGCCTCCCAGCTACTTTCATTGGACAATGTGACCGGTAACATCTGGGGAGGGAAATATTTGTTCTTTTAATTAGGGGGAAAATCACAGGAACTTTTAGAGTTGGTTTTCACTAGCTGTACCAATATGATGTCTGCAATAAACATGTTCTTTGAGGAAGCAACCTGCCTCGGAGTTCTGCTTTTGGCAGATGTGTTACTTGGAACCCTGACACAAGGTTTGTGCAGATGGTGTGAGCCAAACTAACCACATACATTTTTAGATGGTGGTCTCATAAAGACACCACTTCAGTCAGCCTCACCACAGTGTGCTTCCCCTCTATT